GAAAACGGCGGGCATGGATCGGCCCTGAAGATGTGTACATGCCCCCGTAGTATGCATACCAACCTACTAAGTGGTAGTACTAAGTAAGTGTCTGCCCAGTGGGCGCTGGTCTGGCCCCTGTCCCGGGATCTCTCCAGATCCCTGACCTGCACATGGCTGCTGTCTGCGTGCCGTTTTCTGCTTAGCGGACAGCCCGTCTGTACGAAGTACCCGAACATCGGGCTGTCTGTGACAATCACCTGTGTGCAGCGGTTATTAGGCACGATAAGGTGCCTGTGACTGTTGTGCTGCTGCTGCAGCTGCAAGTCGCTCTTTCCACATCGCAACCTCCCGGGAAAGGGCCCACACAGGGGAGGAAGTCTCCCACTCAGGCGCACCTTCTCCTGATCTCGTTTGAGATTTGGGCCGCCTTTCCCAGACGGGCACTCGCTCCCTTCCTTGCTGCGTGCCTGCCATTGCAGCTGGGCTCATTCACTGCAGGCAGTCTGCACCCTCTGCACCTGCACCTGCACCTGCCTGATCGTCACTGACCCAACCGCTGTCTTGCAAGCAGGTACGGTTCCGTGGGCGGAAGGAGGTTGCCTTGATCGAACGTGGCTGCCCTCCTTCGTCACCTCCCGCCCTCCGTTCCTGCCTGACTTTTGCTTAGTGCAAGTGAGAGGCACCCGAGCCGGCCGGCCTGAGCGAGTACCAACGGTACTTTACCCCAAGTGCCCTAGGTGCCTTTCGCAGTGCTGTACATGAGTGAGGTGATTAACAAATCATCCCCGATGGCCACCGGTTCTCATCTCTGCTAGTCTCCCTTCAGCGTAGCCTTGGCCTCTGCACTGTCTGCAGACGGGGAAAGGGTGAGGTGAGGTGTGTCTGTCACTGAGGTGGTGCAGTGTGCAGTGTGCAGTGTGTGGTGAATGCTGTCCCTGACGCGCTTCTTGCCTGGGCTGCTTGCTTGAATTAATTATTATTTGCTCCCTGCCTGCCTGCCTTCCTTCCCGTGTCGTGTCCCATGCTCCTTCCTGCCGCTGCTGCTGCCGCTCTTGCTCCTGCTCTTGCAATTGTTCCCTCACCTTGTCTCGCTTGACTAAGGCAAGGTACCGCTTGCCTTGCACTTGCTGCTCCCCGAGTCGTTCATTCTGACCAGAGTCTCGACTTTCTTCATCTCCATCTCCCTCTCCTCAATCTCTCTCTTCTCCTTTTCCCGGACATCACGCTGCCTTGCTGCCCACCGCATCATCGTGCCCACGACCGTTTTGCACCCGATACGACCCAGTCCCCAGTCCGGACCCATCGATCGTCCCCCCCGAACTTCAATCTCGCCTGCGCTGCCCTCTCTCACCTCCCATTTCGATTCCACTCTGACCGACACACTCTTCGCCAACAATCCACCCGGCACTCCTCTCAACCACTCAACAACCTCAAAACCCTTCTCCAGTCCCCGTCGCTGGTCTCCTCCTCGCCTCCATACCTTACCATCACTGTAGTGTACACATACACTCCAGAATACGCAATACCGGCCACACCCCCCGAAGCGATCGAATTTCTCCTCTTCTCGCCCACCCCCGGAGCCCCCTACCGACACCTGTCGTTGACTCCCGTTGCCGCTGCCGCTGCCGTCTACCTCACGGTCAACCTACCTACGCTCACGCCGCTCGCCGCTGCAAGCCAACCCAACCCGCAGAGCCCGCTCGCTCTCTTCCGTCATCCCAATTGCGCCCTGCACCTGTCTGCCTTGGTCCGACAGTCGTGAAGCAAGCCCCGGGCTGTGGAAACTCGAACCATTCTCTCGTCAACGAACTGGTCCGGACGGCCACTTTGACGAACCTTTTCAAGCAGGGATCCCGCTAAAGTCAAAAATTACAATGCCCACCTCACTCGATTCCTCTCGTCCCATCATGGCACCCTCAGTACGTTCTTCTGTCTCCTGATGTTGCCTTTCGCGCTTTAGCCCTCTCCTGCCTTGTCCTCCTCCTTGACGTCCCTCCCGTTGGCTGCTTTGCTGGCTGCAAATCCCTCCATCCCTTCTGCTCCCTGCTGCGCCTCGTCCTCGATCCCTTTTTTTGCCTTTTTGGCTCTTTGACGCCGCACCTCCCGACAGCTCATCCCACACGTGGACCTCCTCCGTTCCTGCTGCCGCTGCGCTGCTACTATCTTAATCCTTACTCCTCCCGTTCGATCTCCCCTTCCTCCCATTCCCCTCTTCTCTATCCTACCCAATACCGCCCAAAATGACCGCCGTTCTGACCGAGACTCCCGTTCCACAGGTGCGAGCCTCTGTGCGATACAGTACCTACAGCATGGCGCCCTCCTTTGCGAACACCGTTCAGACCACCGACTCGGCTCACGCCGAGATCGCCGACATCGCGACCGGCCTCGACCGCATGGAGAACAAGGCTCTCAGCTCCCAAAGAGTCACCCTGAGCGAGGAGAAGACGGCCAACATGAGCAAGCTGGCTCTCGGTGCCAAGTTGGAGCGTGCGCTGGACCGGAGAATGAGCAGCCAGGACGCCGTCATGCGCCCCCGCGGCAAGACCTTGACCGAGAAGACCACTGCTGCATAAGCGACGCTGCACCATTCGTCACTCAGTCAATCATGGCAAATAAAAGAAACGGCCGCCAGAGTCCACACTCAACACCAACCCGGATGTCGACGAGGGACCAGGGCCGATGAATAGCGGCCGACAGGATCAACAGGATGAATGATTATGTTTCCGGCCCTGGTTACGGAGGAACCGAGGCGGGCCAAACCGGCAGATGAATGAACCGGCCGTGCGAAGCTGTCGAGCCGAATATCAACCTACGGACCTGCGAACGGTAGCAAGGGAGGATAATAGGAATGGCGGTTGCGGACATAAGCACCCCCTCACGCATGTTTTGATTTGGTCTGTTGGGATATCCAGAGGATGTCGGAGCGAAACGCCATGATGGCATCCCACGCATAGTGTTTAAATGGTTTACTACGATGCTCCCCTTGTCCACGTTACATACCTTCTTCTTCTTCATTTCTCGCTCTGAGGCATGACTACCACAAGATGCGAACTGAATCACGGCGCGGGGTTTTTCTTCCTCTTCCTCCGCAGACTTGGGGTTCATAGTCATGGTATTGGTACATGTGGTATACTACTAGAAATGCTAAACGACCATATCTCCCACGTCGGTCGAATGCTCACGATGGCCATGTGACTACCGTATGATGTGTCCACGGAAGTGCCCAGCTCCAGCAATCCTCGGTGCGCATGCAGCAGCCCCTCGGCGCGGACCTGTCAGGTTGTGCCCAACTCCCAAGCTCTCTGCCCTCGGCCTGACTCTCCTCCGCTGGCACGCTCGTGTGGCACATGTGAAGCCCTCGCGACATCCAGGTCCCTATCAATCGTAAAAGAAGTTCCTGCTCCAACACCTCTCCCTCAAGCACTCTCCTTCTTCTCAATCTTGGCCTCAATCTCCTTCAGCTGCGCAACCAGCTCGCCCTCCTCGCCCTCGTACTCGAGCGCCTTGCCAACCCACTCCCTCGCCTCCTCGAGGCGGCCCATCTCCATCAGACACCTGCCCCTGCGCCACCAGGCCTTTGCGTTGCCGACCTTCCTCGCCTCGACGCTCGCCTCGGCGTCGACGGAGCCCTCGGCCCACTGCTGCAGCGCCATGTGCGCCTGCGCGCGGTTGGCGTACAGGCTGGCGACCTCCTCGCGGACGAGCTGCGAGGGCTCCCACAGCGGGCGGGTGAGGGCCATCTGCAGGCCGAGGGTGTAGAACTTGACGGCCTCTGCGTACTTCTTCTTGTGGAACTCGGCGTTGCCGGAGTCGCGCAGCTTGGAGACGTTGGCGGAGCGTTTGGGGTTGACGGGCATCGGCGGCGGGGGGACGCCGTGCTGGGTGGTGGTGTCGGAGGTGACGAGGGAGCGGTGGAGGGCGTTGAGCTGGGCGAGCTCGGCTTGCAGCGCGCGCGAGGAGGAGGTGGAGGAGATTGCTTTGGACTGGGGGTCTATTTGGAGCGGGAGGAGGTCGAAGTGTGTGAGTTCCGACATTTTGGGCGGTTTTGGTGGTGTGTGTGGTGTATTAAGGTGGGTGAGGTGTCTTTCGTCTTCGGGTATCTTTTTTAGTGGTAGTGAAGGCGACCGTGTTCGTGACGGCGTGAGGGTTCGTTTGCTGTTGTGATGGTGGTGGTGGTGAAGACAAGAAAAAGAGAGGTTGTTTGTTGCGAGACGAGCGAGCGGACGCCTAGGTGGTTAGTTAGTCGGTCGCTTTGCGCAGGACCTCTCTGGGGGAGAGGACACTTCTCCGAACGTTATCCTTATCGGGCTTAGGCGGTAAGTGGATCACGTGCCGAAAGTGGGATTGACCGGGCTCACCGAAGTCGAGCTGCCTCACCTTGATGGCGGCGGAGAAGAGAGACCTTTCGTTCCAAGGAGTGAAACAGCTCTGACGTAGCATTCCGATCGCGTCTCTTGTTCCATTAGTTAAGATCCTCGCGGGCGGCTCATATCTCATTACGGCGCTTCAACGTGCATCCATCAGAGAACACGTCCACATCGCGTAGCATCTGTTGGTGTAAGTCGTGAAGCTTGCGCCGTAGCAAGTGTACGTCCAGTCAACCTCATCCTTGGCTTATGATTCTTTCATTGAGGTAGTCGCAACTACATACTTTGGAGGCCTCTTTATGGGAGCGAGTTGAAGCGACAATACTCACATCGTCCTCCCATCGGCTCCCCAAGACGTCACAACCTCATCGCCACCAGGTCGCTAGCAGACTTTGTGAAAGCATCGCCATATTGCTTGACCAGCGATTTGAAGTCACTAGATTTAGGCCCATAATCATGAACTGTCCATGTTTTTAAATATAATAACTCCGTCGTTCCTTTGGTGACAGTTGATGCACCGGCCCATCAGAATGCTACCCGCCATCCAACCACGTCGAGCGCCATGTTGAGTTCCTTTTTTGCCCAGACCAATCCGACAAGCAGATTTCCATCCCAATGCTTTAACTCATGCTGGATTAACAAGTCTTACGCTTTCTTGTAATAAGACTTGTTCAGCCCTTTCTCGACAGCCGCAATCTGCAGCGCCAACGGCAGCGAGAATTGGCGGCAGTACATGAAGCTGCCGGTCATGTACCAGAATCCAGGTACGCCTGTTGATCGCCACCACTACACCCAGTCAGCATTAACCCATATCATCATCGGAACGTTGACTTACCCCAGACCGCTCCTGCTCCTCGTCCAATTGCCCAAACTTGCGCAGCCTCTTCGACACCTCCGAGCCCATCAGCTTCTCAATGGTCGTCGTCTCCTTTTGGAAGCCGGTGGCAAGCACCACGATGTCTGCCTCAAGCTTCGTCCCGTCAGCGAGGACCAGGCCATCCTCCACAAACTCCCGCACCCCCTCCTCGCATCTCTTGATCTTGATCCGGCCGTCGATGATCATCTGGTTTGCCCCTTGGTCAATGTAATACTGGCCTCCCTTGATGAGCTGGTAGTCCGCCAGGCCGTACCCGTCGCCGCCCTCCTTCAGCGCCAGCCCGGCCTTCTTCAGCCCGTCGTGGACGACCTTGTCGTGCGCCGCCATCATCTTGGTCAGCCCGATGCTCATCTTCCGGATGACCGCCAGCGGGATCGCGTTGCCGACGATGTCGGCTTCCTCCGTGCTGAGGCCGGGGATTTCCCACAGCGCGAGCATGAAGTTCTCCCAGGACTCGCGGGAGATGGAGTAGATTGCTCGGCGCTGCATCATCGTCACCTCCTTGGCGCCGTGGGCGACAAAGTCTGCGGAAATGTCGTGCCCGCTGGTGGCGGAGCCGACCACCACGACCTTTTTGTTGCCCACATCTGGGATGTCGGCAGCAGATTTGTGGTACTTGGAGTGGTAGATCTGACCCTTGAAAGTCTCTTGGCCCTTGAACTCGGGCACGATTGGTTCGTCCCCAAAGAGGCCCGTAGCTAGAACGACGTGCTTCGCGGAGAGTGTGCGTGTTCCCCCTGGTGTCGTGACTTGGACAGTGTACTTTTTGGCGACCTCATCGAAGGTAACCTTTGTGACGTTGGAGTCGTACTGGATGTCGAGACCCATCAGTTGGCCGTAGTGCTCCATGAACTCTGCCACCTTGTCTCCGGTAAGGAACCTGGGCCACGTCTCGGGGATCTTCATGTAGGCCCAGTGATCCGTGTAAGTCGGCGTGTGGAGCGTGACGCTCTGATACCTCTTCCGCCAGGAGTCTCCGAGGCGAGAGCTCCTCTCCAGGAGACGTGTCTTGATGCCCATGTGCTGGAGCCGCGCACCGAGCATCAGTCCAGCTTGCGCTACCATGTTGTCAGTCACTAAGCTTGCCAGAGCTCATGGCAACTCACCTGCACCAACGATCAACACCTGCAGTTCCTCTCCGTCCGTCCCATTCGTCCCATTACTGGCTAACGCAGGCGGCACGCACACAGCCCTCTGCTTCTCCAACTCCCTCTGATAATCCAGCCTCTCGAGCTGCGTGAACACGGTCCAAGCCTTCCACTCTCCCACGCCCACGTTCATTAACTTCAGCAATCCCTTCCCTTCTCCATGAGGCGTGCGGAACGTGAAGCCAGACTGGATCCAGATCTGCCCGCCAAAGTCGACAAGTAAAGGCTGCAGGCCCCCGAACTTGTTCGGCTCAAGCTCCGAGAGGCCGTGTTCTGCGGAAGAAAGGTACGCCGCGATGGCCGCCTGGCCCTGTTTGCACGAAAAGTCCCATGAAAGCGCGACGATGTCTCTCCACCAGCAATTCTCGATGAACAGGTCGGAGAGGGTGAGGTTCTTCTCGGCGAAGCGCTGAGAAAGGGTTGTCAGCCAGGATGTCGTTATTTGCACGGCGTCGACGGATTCTTTGGTGACGCCCGGTTGGAGCTGGAGGTCCGGTAGCTCGGGGAGTTTCGTGCCGTCCATGATGTCGGTGATCTAAAAGATGCAAGGGGGACGGGAAGAGGCGCTGAAGAATGACACCGATCGTGCGGTCGAGGGGGCGGGCGCAGCATGACTTACATGGGAATTCCGCGCGGGATGTACATAAATCAGCGCGATAGCGTCCGATAGCTTAAACGGGCCAATGCCGGATTTCTCGACCGCCGGGCGCCGTCCCCGCAGCACGTCTTCATTGGCGGGGCGTCCTCGTCCCACCCCGAGTTCGGATGGTTCCCGGGGGCGAGCGTTGAAGTCTTTTAAGGTTGATGCAACGTTGTGGCATGGGATAATCTTATCTGATCATCCCCCACCGATGATCGCGGGAGCAGACCAATTGGAAAAGGGAGGAGGATGGCGATGGAGGGCATGGCCGGCGGGATGCGGTGGTAAGCGGCCGAATTATGTAAGAGATGGACGTGGTATTTGGGATCGGAGGGTCTTGGCGAGGGGATGGTGGTGTCTGCCCCTCATCTTGCCTTGTGACGTGAGATATGGGTTCATAAGAGTGGTAGTCCGTGGCATGTTGTCGTGTTGTTCCCACCCGTGCTGGTCTCATCAGGCATTGGATGCACAACGTAGGAGAAGATGAAATGGTTCAAGCAAGTTTGGAGAAGGGAGCACGGCCATGTCCTTGGAGTTCTCTCCTCGACGACACATCAAGTTGTCGCATACCGAGTCAGTTCAATCTAAGAAGCTTTTCCATGTGCATTCGGAATGATTGGGTCGAACTTTCGGGGCTTCTTTCGTCGTTTGATAAGATGCTATGAAGTTAAATCAAGAGAGGGGGAAATGTCAGTCCAGCAGGCAACGTGGGCAACACACAGCATTCCTCTAGGTGCCCGGATCACACTCAACTTGGAGTTGAGGTTGTAGCAGACATCACTGATTTCCATACCTATGTCGAATTAGCCGCATCCAGCTTCTGCCCATCCGTTGTCATGTTGGGTACATTCATTTTCCTTATTTGGCCCGAGTGTCATGTTTCTATGGCGTTTGTGCCATGAATTCCGTTGCTTCATCCAATCAAATCCTGATTCTCGTTCAGCCAGATATGTGATTTTGTCCCGCCCTTAATTTCACGGAGCACGTAAAAGTGGCTAAGACATAATCATAACACCAACAAGTTTCACGCACCCAGTTACAGAGGACAACAATATGGGAGTCCCGATAAGTGCAACCAACGGAGGCTGCCTTGAATTTTAGATGTCTCCATCAGATTGGTTGAAACCTGCTTAAGCTGCTAGGCTGCGTGGCTGCCTCCAACATATATCTGGGTCTCAAATCCCAAATCAATGCATCACCATCTGTACCACAGCCTCAACTATTGAAATACGAAGACCTGCTCTTCTCTTCACCCGCTCTCTCCAAAGTTTGCAGCACGTGATTCCTTTCTCTAAGCTCGCAATCGAAGCATAGCAGCTATTTGCGTTGAACCGCTCGAGAAAAGTAAGATGCGGGACTCCTCTTCAAACACGTCACTACAGCGCAAACCTCTCGGCCGACAATCTTTCTCTTCCAATGGCGAACCACTCCCTTCAGCGAGGTCGCTTCTTGCTGAGGATGATTCTGGCCAGGCATACCTTCCTGGTCGTCTTGTCGAGCAGGAGACCAATGAAATATCAGTAGAGCAGCAGAGCAACACCTATTTCAAGTACAAGCCTGTATCCACAGAGGACAACGCTGCTTCTGAAGTCAAGGGTGCACGACGCCGTGTGGGAATAGCGTCTCTGTCAACCGATTGTGCAGCAGTGCTACTTTCAACGGCAATGATCCTATTCGTCTCCTTGGTTTGGGATTTAGATGGCTCTAGGGTCATCAACAACTCGTATGACTCCTGGAAAAATGCCATCACCGTTGTAAGTACCCAGTGTTGATGAACATCATGAAGCTGTAGCTAAAGATTACTTTTTTCAGCTTGCAACTTTCTTCCCAATCCTTTTCGCCTCGATCGTCGGTCGACTGATGACAGAAGCCACCAGGTGGAATCTAGAGAAGGGTTCCACAATCGGCTGCCTCGAACAACTCATGGGCAGCCAAACAGTTGGCGGATCTGTCCTTATGGTACTGCGGCTACGTTCTCTAAGCGTACTGTCACCGCTGCTACTCATGCTTTGGTCCTTTTCCCCGCTGGGAGCACAATCACTATTGCGCATGACGAAATTGGAATTCAGCTATCGCGAGATAGAGACAACCGCAACCTTCTTCGACACCACCGCCAAGAGCCAAACTGCCGACTGGTTCAGAAGTACCCTCGGTAGTGCGTCACGTCTAACTGCCATTGGTAAGCTAGCTGTCCTGAAATCACTGTATACAACGATTGTTACTGCGCCCGAGAAAATAAAAAACGACACAATGGACATTTGGGGCAATGTAAAAATACCGATTCTGAAAGACATGCAAGGACAGGAATGGCAGGACACATCATCACCAAATGCCACCGTGCAATACACCTCTCTGGTGGGAGTGCCTGTCAACCATGTTGGCGAGGGCAACGCATCATTTCACATCGAATCAACTTACGTACAACTCGAATGTATCAACGCTACGTACTACTTAACTGGGGGAAGGCTAGATCCATCACCGCGTGTGCCCGTAGAGAGCGAGGATTTACATCGCGCCTCGAGGTGCGATCTGGGCAGCAATCCATACAGCCTCTCAAATGGCACATGGCATGGACACAACCACACCTATAGCAGGAGTTGGAGCCTTGCGCTTGATCGTTTCGTTAATCCTCTTTGGTTAGGAGATAACGGAACACAAAACTCAGTCAACTACCAAGGCTTCCTGTCAGGCCGCAAAGACAAAATGGATCGTCCCATTCTTTTCCTCGACGAGTTGGACGTGGATGCAGGCCCTACATCATTACTTTTTGCCGCAAAATGCCAATCCAACTACACCCCGCGCGATGGTTCTTTCCAGTCACACTGCGGGGTCAAACAAAGATACGTCGAGTCTATCATTCGTTGCTCGGGTATTACATCCAAGAGGGAATGCGCCGTAGTCCAACAAAGACCTTCGCAAAAACCGCACCCGTCTGAAAATATATCCCAACTATCATTTCCGGGAGTCTTCTGGACTATCATCCAAGGAATGCCAGATGACAAGGAGGTCACATATCAATCCGAGTCATCTCTTTACTACATCAAAGACCCGTCACTCAAGAGCCAACTGGACAAAGACGTACATTTTCTCCAAAATGTTACTAGAGAAGACGTAAGCACTCGTTTGACGCAGTTGATCAACACGTTTCTCCAACTCAGTCAATTATACCTCAACATCACAACTGCAGGCGAAGTGGATGGAAAGTTTGAACCTAATATCACAGTTCTGGCTTCTGACAGACAAGAATTTCTTGTCGTTCATGTGTCAAAGGGTTGGGCAGTGTTATGTTTGATATCTAGTCTTGTTCTTCTTGCAGCTAGCATTATGGGGGCTGTCTTCAAACATATCGCGCGTGGACCAGAGGCCCTAGGCTACGTTTCAACAGCATTACGAGATTCACGACATGTAGAGCTCGATTCCGATTCGGGATGGATGGACAGCATTGATTTATCCCGAAGAATGAGGAGTAAGCGAATTCGACTGGGAGTGGTTGCTGTTGGGAATGACAAACTACCTGTCTTGGGTATTGGGCGCGAAAAGAACACAGACAAGTTGTAGCATCCTGAAAATTTCTCAATTAGATATCTTCCACTGTTTATCACCTATGCACTGCGTGTGCGGGTGAGCCTGCGATCCGGAGGCCTTCCATTCTTTCAGGAGTCTTGCTACCCGGGCGGATAACTGCCCCGCTATCCCTGTCCTCACTGTTCTATCCCTCTTCCTATGCCTATCGTTGTCGTCGTTGTCGTCCCTGTCGTCATCTACACCCGCTACCCACCCGGGTAGCTAGGAATATCCGCTCGGATAGCAAAACTCTCTTCCAAATTTGCGGAAGCACCACGCAAGAAAGCCATCAACGCGCGGGATGTAATCTTAGGGCAGTCGACATGGTCTGGAAGAAGAGCTGGGGCCGAGGCCGGCCGCGTAATTAAACCTCATAGAGACCATTAAGATCTGTAGTCATCAGTATGGCGGTAAGGGTGAGGCTGTGGCCTGAGAGTAGACGAATAGAGCCAGAGCAAGCAGCGGGTGAGGGTGACAATGTTGTAGGAGTACCGCAAGACAGTTGGGGAAACTGTGATGCAAGAGGACGCACCCTCAAGATATTCTGAGGAAAGTAGCCCGATAAATCACAGAAGAATGTGAGTGAACTTGATATTGGCAGCTGAGCCTAAAAGAAAGCAGCCCGCTCAAGGCCGGGTACCGTCTTGAATCTCCCCATCTTCACAGACGGGCAACGGCAAGATGAGAGGCCTCAGCTCAAATCAACGGGATGCTGCGGACTGTATATTGCAAGCGGTGTGTCGTTTTGGGATGTCGGATGGTAAAGGCACCTGCGCATTCGCGCTGGTGGGTGCAGACGGACGTAGGACATGTGCAAGGAGAAGGGCACATCTTTTCGAAGCACTGAGCGCCAACGTTTGACGATACCCTGAACAATTTCAAAGTTGACTTCCGCGGAGACTTGTGTGCAACGCCATCGACGAGTGATCCTTCATCACCACCCATTTCAGAGCTGCGGGACGAGGCCTTGAGACCGAAAGAAGCACTTAACCGAAAGAAGCACTTCATCAGAAACGCCAAGGCTACACAGATCGTACTCGAGCTACCTCGGACTGAGACTCATCAACCCCCCAAGGCCTGCAACCTCTTTCCTGGGCATATCTTGGACAATCTCCAAACCAAACGCCGAGACCAGTCTCTTCGGGCTAAAACTCGGATAGGCATGAAAGTCATCTTGCGAAGTCGAAGCGGAGCCTCGACAGCAAAGACACCAAGAAAGATCTACAAGCCTTCTAGCCCAAAACCCAGGCGCGCCGAGGAACTCACCGCATCCGCCAAGGACTTCGTGAAATGCCTCAAGATGAATTCCACTGACAGCACTGGTCTGCCCCTTTCCGTCGCCAAGACATGACCAGTTCACCAAGGAAGAGGCAGTGCCGGCGACAGAGGGAAAGTCGCCCAGATGCCAAGGCCGCTTACCGAGATGAGCAGCCGCGTCGTAGCCGCCAAGACATCACACATTGAACGCCACGAGATGGGGAAGCCAGTCACTTTAGAAATTGGGACAAAATAAGGTGAACAAAGAGAAAAAGGGTTCTATTCATCGCACAAAAGACACCTAGAAAACAATACAAGCCTCTTTTCGCGAGGCCAGAGTCATGAAGCAGAGTATAGCTGCTGCCAGCGAGGTCCCAACGCCATGTGATGATGACAATACACAAAAGAGCCTCTCATGCCATAATAAAAATGAGTAATCCTGTCGAGCCGTGACTGTATTATACCAGGGCTGGCAACTGATGCCGCCCTGCTTGGATATCTTACACGCTCGCATAATAGTACGTCGCCCACATCTCCTCGGGCGCCCGGGTTTGGTCCTCCTCAAATCATCAAATGGTTGGCATCGCTTACAGAGCGACCATGGCGGCACCGACACCGACAGCGGCGACGAGGTAGGTGCCGACGGCAACGGAGCCGAGGGTGAAGAGGGGCTGGTAGACGTTGCCGGGGGCAGCGTTGCCAGAGGCGCTGGAGCTGGGGTTGGCGGTGGAGTCGACGGGGGCGGTGGCGGTGGCAGCGGCAGAGTTGGCGGCCTCGGCGGAGGCGAGGGCAGTCTTGCAGGTGTCGTTGGTGGAAGAGGGGGTGATGACCTGGGCCTGGCCGTCGAAGTCGCAGGCGGTGCTGGCCTTCTTCTGGTTCTTGTAGTAGGTGTCGAGGACGAAGGCAAGCTTCTGCTCGGCGTTGCACATGCTGTAGGCACCGTAGACACCGGTAGAGGTGTTGGCGGAGATACCGGAGCAGGCGGAGGCGTCGGCACCGCAGATGAAGCCGAACATCTCACCGATGGCGGAAGCCTTCAGGCCGGACTTGGGGGTGCAAGAAAGGCTGGAAACCATGCAAGAGCAGAGGTCCTTGTTGGGGGTGGGGGGAAGGGCCTTGCCGTTGACCTCCCAGTTGGAGGCGACAGGGGGGCACTCGGCAGGCTCGTTGGTGGGCTTGTAGGAGTCCATCTGGACGGCGGAGGGGGTGGCAGCCAGGACGCGGGAAGCAAGAGCGTCGTAGTTCTTCATGGTGGTGGCCTTGCCGTTGGAAACCTTGACGAGACCGTAGTCGTTGGCCTCCTGGTGGAACATGTAGACGATACCGCCGGAGAAGACCTCGGTCATCTCAGTGTCGTACAGAGCAGTGGTCTCCTGGAAGATACGGCCCTCGGCACCGTCGGGGATGTTGCAGCCGTACTCAGCGAAGAAGACGGGGACAGAGTAGTTCTTGAAGAACTGAACCTGGGTCTCGTAGCCAGAGCCAGCCATGGTGTTCTTACCGCACCAGGAGTAGATGTTGTAGCCCCAGAAGTCAATGGCGGTGTCCTGGTCGCCGCAGTTGAAGTAGTGGGCAGAGTTGTCGCGAATATCAGCGTCATCGTTGGCAGCGTAGCCAACACCCATCCAGCGGTAGCCCTTGTCCTTGATGTACTTCTTGGAGTCGCGGACGGCGGCCTTGACGAAGGCGGAGGCCTCGGTGTTGGTCTTGTTGTTGGAGACCTCGTTACCGGCGAAGAAGCCGATGGTGTTGTCGTACTTGGCGAGCTCATCGATGACGGCGGTGTAGCGGGTGTACAGGTCAGTGTTCCACTGGGCGTCGTCACGGTTGATGGAGGTCTTGGGCTCTCCCAAGTCGGAGACGACGTAGATGCCAGCATCGGAGAGGAGCTTCATGCAGGCGGAGTGGTCCGCGGTAGGGTCAATGGCGTAGGTACGGATGGTGTTGGTGCCAGCCTTGGCCAGGAGGGGGACGTCGCGCTTGCAGGCGGTCTCGTCGGCGAGGGGGTCCTTGAACTCGCCAGTCTTGGACTCACCACCGGCGGCGGCGGTGTCCTGCTGGTAGGCGATACCCTTGATGAAGAACTGGGTGCCGTTCTCGTAGAAGAACTTGGTGCCCTGGGAGGGGGGTTAGCTGGCTGCAGCTGGGTTACAGCGATTGAATGGACGGCATACCTTCATGACGATGGGGTCGAGAGCAGCGGCGTTGCTGGCGAGCAACAGGGCCGCGGAAACGGCAGCAGCGACTTTGCCCATTGTGACGGATTGGTTTTTGGGTTGGGTTGGTGAAGGGGTGGAAGTTCGGTCGTCGGGATCGATGTGGGAAGATGTCGTCGGTCGGGTGGATGACGTCGGAGACCTAAATCAAATCGGAGACTGGAGAATTCCTTGGACGCGACGAAAAGGGTGGTAAAATAACGAGTTCTGGTAATGAGTGTGTGAAGTCGAGAGTTTTGGGTTGGATTGGTGATGAAATTAAAAGAATAGGGTTCAGAGACACAACATTCGGCAAGATGAATCAAGACCAATGAATAAGTTCTCTTCTCTCCTAAAAAGAATAGTTCCCCTAAAAATGAAAAAGCGATTGTTGAGAGAGTGACGGTTTAGAGGAAACACACGGGGGAGAGAAAAGGAGAAGTAGCAGGAGGAAGGAGGCGATGTGAAGGGAGGGAGCGACGGTAGAAAAGCAGTTGGAAACGGGCCCTGGAATGGAATGCCTTGGCGAAGCGGGTCCTGCTCCCATCCGTATCCTCGTACCGTTTCCCTCCCCCGTCGCCCGCCTCCACCGGCAGCCCCAGTGGTGGTCCAGCGCTCCAGGGCTCCATTGCTCTAGGACTCCAGTTAAGAGAGATTGGGGAGGATGCAAGTGCCAAATGGGATCGCCTGGTGTGCCTGGGCAAGCAGCAGGAAAAGCAGGCTAGACCACCAAGGACGTGGAATGAACAGCGGGCAACAAGGTGCAGCAACTGGCCCTCTGCCCTCTGCGAGAGACTGCGAGTGCAGGCTGCAGGGTTGCGGCAGGGAAGGCGCCAGGAACACGGACAGGGGTGTGGGGGCCAGGGGGCGCCTTCCTTCCTGGCTGGAGCCACTTTGGGACTAGCCCCTTCCTTGCAGGTAAGCTTGAAGGTTCTTTCCTCGTCTTCTGTGTCTGTTCCTTCTTTCTTTAGCGGTGCAGCAGCAGCAGCAGCAGCAGCAGCAGCAGCAGCAGCAGCAGCAGCAGCAGGTGCGATGCGATGGAAGCGCGGAAGGAAGGACAGTGTGAGCGATGAGTCTGCTTCCTTCCCCTTCTTCATCCCATCCCTCACCTCATCCCATTCCAACTACTTCTTACCCAAGGTGCTAAAGGCAGGAAGGAACCCGTATTCAAACGGTCGTCGCACGTTTCGAGGAGGCGCAGCTGTTTAGTCTGTCTTGTTCATTGCTTCAGCCCTTCGCCAGAAACCACCGCATCGCACCCGACACCAGCGACCAATGGCCGCAAACCACAAAACCTGAGGCGGTCGACATGGTACCTGAAGCCGCTGCGAGACATGGCTGGGTCACGAGGTACCTGCGTACCCAGTCACGCATCACTCTCCCCCGGGAACCGCCCAGGCCAGGTTCATCTCGTTTCAAGCCTGTGAGAGCCTCCTGCCTGCCACAGTCCATCACAGTCCGCCACAGTGTGCAAACGGTCAGCAATGACGGATGACATAACGGGCGACATACCGCTCTATCTGGCTGCCACCCCATTTGCGACGGACAATGCTAGCGAGCCATCATTTCCTCTTGTCTTCCTCCACCATCAATCACTCTGCTCTGCTCCTCTCCCCCAAGGCCGTTAGTCAAGATGTCGAGAAATAGGGGCAATCTCCACACAGGTGAGCTCCGGCCTGGAGTAGCGGCTGACTTTCCCAGACCGGGACCTACGGACGCCGGCCCCCCTACCACCCACCACCACCCCATCACCCATCCACCCATCACCGCACATCCCTCCGGTCAATGATGCAGGCATCGAGTACCGCCCGTCACGGTCCAACGGTAAATCATCGCCAATAGTACTCTCGATGACTTCCGCCGCCCGTCTTCGCCATACCTACATAGCACTCGACAAGCTACCGCAGTATTGCCGCCAAGCACCGACTCACCATCGCCAGATCCAGATATCTCCAGGTCCCTACTCAAAAGCGTCAAGACCGCCAAGAGATCAATCCGCTCAAGCATTGGCATTTCTTGTCGTCCATTCTGCGCCTCTTTTTATCCCCCCAAGACCCCAACTCCCGCTGTCAACCCGCCCCTCCATCTGCCAGACTTCACGTCGGGGATCGCTTGGTCGAGATCAAACTCATTTCAGCTGCCTCTGCCCAGCCCGCCGCCCAGCGCGACACCGTCTCTCCTTCAGGCCGTCCAAGATCTTGGGGAACGCTGCCAATGCCAACTCATCACCCAAGGCCGCTCGGCCAAACACACGTCGAATGGGAAATCAGTCGCCGACGGCACTCCTTGCAATCGTTATTACAATCAACATCCGGCCATCGGATATTGCTCCACATCAGTCCGCCTTCCCTGTGTCCCTTAACTCCCCCCGGGGGCACTTCATCAGAATGAACCACATGCAATGGCAATGCAAACATTCGCCGAACCAAGAAAACCAAACATTACGAAAGACCAACAACACAACTCATTGCCGACGGACGGTCCAGATCTCCCGTAGACCTGCACCACAGCCACTCCTCGCCATCCACTGAGGAGACCATGCCTGGATGCGTGCGAGATTCACAGAGGGGCCGTTGGCGCCAAATTCCCAATCTCGGTCCAGTCCACAGGCACTGTCACGGACGTCCACCTCCAATCATCCCACACGTCCAACTGCCACCCATCGTCCATCGCGCATCCATCCATCAACCTCGAACCAACCGGTCCGATGTCTTGCGCTATGTCCGTACTTAGTGTAAGTGGTAACTTGGTAGGTGGTGACTTGCCATCTCGTTCTTCTATGACGACGCTACTGTGCCAAGCTGCATAGCCCTACTGCACACTCGTCCTTCGTATTTTAGACTTTGGCCTGAGTTTGGGAAAAGTTCAGCGCAATCACGACGAGACCAGACGACGCAAGTCAGGCAGAATGACGATTATCGATGCAGCAACACGTCGAAATTCCATCAACCCCCAAAAGAATACGAGGCACACTGCAGGACGGCCTCCAAGGTCTCCGACGAAACCACCATCCATCCATCCCTCCCACCCAGGCCACCACCCGAGTCAGAAACGTACAGTGCGCAGTGGGAATAAAATACCAACAAAAATAGTGACGGCGGCGGGAGTCAATTAACTCTCTTTTCTTGGGGCCACCTTAAGTTAATTTACGCGCTTTAGCCCAAACAAGACGTCCAGTGGAGCCGAAATTGGCCCAGCACACCCGATTCGACAAGTCACCCGCCTTCATTGGCACCACCTTGAATTGATGTTCATGCTCCCAGTCTGTGAGCCTGGCAGACTGTGAATTGATAATTGTGGTTTTCAGTGGACCGACCGACACTTGTTCATCTGCGATGCAGCACCATCATCCAACAATCCTGCTCCAGTCGACAGGTTAATCATTGCTTGTTTTTCTTGTTTCTAAATCTATCCTCTGTCTCTGTACCTTCACAGGTTGACTGATCGTGTCTCCAAAATAAATCCATCGCACATCCCCATCTCTGGCCTTGCTTATCAAACTTCCAGCAGTGCCTGTGCTGCCCCGTTGATGTTCATCCCAGCCCGCCAAAACTCTGAAGCGAAAAAGTCTCGCGTTTGCTGCCTGTCCCCCTGATTGCCCGGGTTGGCGCTGTTATTATTGGCAAACCCGCGTTTCGCCCCTCCATCACCGCGTTTCAATCAATCCAAATCGTCAACAACAACCACAGCTGAGCATTGCCAATGCATCTCAGGCCTTCAGTCTTTCAGCTCACCATCCCACCCGTCCCGCTGAACCCCCCTCGGCCAAACGCTCCTCCCGCGGCCTCCTCGCAGCGGAATCCCCGGTCGCCGCCTCGCCTCACCCGACGTCTCGTTCCATGCCCGACCAGCACCAGCCCCTGGGTCTCCCCCGGTAGCCAGCACGACGGCCGCCCCTCAAGTCCGTGTCAAGTTGATGGGGTCGCGCTCAGTCGCTCGCTGATCTAGATTTTTTTTGTCCTTGTCCACAGTGTGCTGTGCTCGCTGTCCAGCGCCCGACGTCATCGGTGGACGCTCCGTCTTGTCAATCTTCATCTGCCCAGCGTAGCGTTCGTCCCGCCGCCGTCATGTGTTGTCGCACCGTCCGTCTATCGTATCGTGTCGCTCGCGATCGTCAAAGAAGGGGGAGGGATGTCCCAAAAAAACAAGAAAACCAAAAATGCTTGATTCCGCTCAGCCCTTTTTTCGTGTATCTCGTCTCGGCGAATTAATCTGCGCATGCGACCCCCGTAGCCCCCGAAAGTAGGCCGTAGAAAAGGCACCTCATGCGCAAATCAATCACCATCGGCCGGTGACCTTGAAGTAGGCCTTGCCCACGCCGTAGCAGACGCCGTCCCAGACCTCGTACGTCTCGCGCCAGACTGTCCTGAGCGGGTTGCGCCCCGAGCGTCCGTGTCGGTATGTCTGGGTGACCGTCGTCATTCTTCTTATTGTGTGGTTTCCCGTTTGTTGGTGGTGGTTGATGATGTTTTATGGCTTTGGTTTGCTTCTTTCTGATGACTCTTTGATATCTCTACCTCTAGATTGTAATGATTTCTTCAACGGCCTTTCCCTGCGATTTATACATGTCTAGGCATCATCAAACATTGTCAGCCTACCTACTCGCAACAGTCACACACACATCTGCCCGCCGCATCGCCGCCCCGGCCGCAGCACGGCAGTCAAGTCACGAGCCACATCACCTCCCGCTCCCGCGCCGCAGCCACACAGGCACCCGACAAAAGCACACTGCAGCCAAAAACTCCGCCGGCCTTTCCCCCTCCACTCCCGCCTGACAGCGGGTTCCACTGTAGCGCGAACAGGCAAACCACAAGCACCCGGCCGGCGGTGCACCACACCACATGCCCGCACGTCAAGTGGCTGAGGGTGCTCGCCGGTCTCTGTCATTCGTTCGCTGAGAGTATGTTAGTACGAATACTTCCATTTCTACTTCCCCGCGTCTGCGGCCAGTGTGTGTGGTACAGCCCGACTTCAAAGTGCTGAATCAGGCAGGATGGGCGGGCGGGCTTCTTGAGGCGTCCGCTGCTTGGTTGAATGTCGCTCAAGCCTGGGGATTGGCGGGTAGGATCTCAAGTCTTGTTTGGAGGATTCGCATGCAATGTGCTTCTGAAGGTGTGCCCTCCTCTCGGTGAGGTTGGCGATCGCCGTTTGACGTCTGAGGCATGTTTGCTGCATGCCAGCTCCCGTGATGCCACAAGCCTCAGAACCTGTTTCTTCACATTGAATCGTGAAATTTAAAGACCGGGGATGGTGATCTGTGTGAGTCTGGCAACGTGGCTGCCGCCTGCGGTATCAGTGTCGCCTGGGCTGGGTTGACCGCATCTGCGCAGAGGGTCTTGAGCGGGTTTGTCTCACCGCCCATCACGGGACGGGTGCGAACCTCATTCGCCACAATTCCTTTCGACATCACGCAGGTTGGTAGATTTAAGCTAGGAAGCGAGTGATATTTGGAAGAAGCTATTCGAATGTGTGACTCGGCGGATGATTCCCTTCTCCTCCCATTTGCCACACATCCTTCAACCACGTGCAGTCAAATCCTTCAATATCCTCAACATCTGTCCTGTGGACCGTAGCAAATGTGTAAGTAGAAATTGTGGTACAGCCTCTTCCTCCGTTTCGAACCACCGGTGTACGTGTCGTGTGGCTCGTCGGAAGCGAACCGGATCCAGTCCCGCGACTCCTGGACTTGATCGTGGCGGGTGATAGCTTAGCAAGTGTATGTCGTCATGTCTTCACGTTGTGCCGGAGCAAGTGTTGTTGTAAATGCGTTCATCCTTTTGCGCAAAAGTCAGCCTTGCCGTTCTTGCCTTACGGGGTCTTGTGGTATTACTGACCGTATTTGAGCAAGTACTGCGGATCTGTCACATCCCGCCTGATATCGACTGAGAAATGGGCGAAAGTAGTGGCGGCTTCAACGTTTTAATCGATCCGACGACGCTTCGTGCCTGTTCTTCAATGTCAGTGACGTGTTGAGTGAGGCCAAATCTCGGATCAACGTACCTCTGGGGCCGACGTCGGCAACCTGAATGGTGAACTTGGTGCCACCAGCTGTGATGGCGATCTCGATGGGGCTGTTTTCGGTTTCGCGGTGGACGGCATTCTGCTTCTGGTCATCGGAAGGGGTGCTGTCATACACAGTAACGATGGGCGAGAGGACCATGCTGCGGCCAGGCTTCCGGCCAGGCTTGCGGCCGGCCTTGGGCTTGACGGGCGTCACGGGAGGTGTCAAGATCTCGTCGACGGTGTTTGACGCGGCAGGCGAAGCCTTGTCTGTGGCCTCTCTCTTCAAGAGGAAGACCCCGTGGCGGTCCTTGAAGAGCTGGGTGGTGAGATACTGACAGTTGGGTGATCCAGTCTGATGTTCCTCAAAAGGATCATCCTTGGCCTCCCACGCCCACGCCTGCATCTCGCAGAAATCGCACGTCACGCTGTCCGCCTGATGTCTTCTCTCCCCGGTGTATCGGAAGCCCGCACCAGCCATGTCTTCAGGACGCAGTGTGTCCACGGGCCAACGCTCGGCCTCGCCATCAAGGGCCCGGGGCACGAACGAGAGCAAGCGGCAGTTGTATTCGTCCATGTTCATGCTGCAGGAAATGAGTGATCGAAAGAGGGTATATGACTTGTGGAAGAAAGCAATGATTGACAATGTTTGGACGGGGAAAGAGTGTGTGGGTCAGGTGGGACTGTCGCCAAAGTTGGTGGAGGAAGAGGTTTGAGAGAGTGATCTCCAACGAGAATAGGAGGGAAGAGTGTGTGGTTGTGAAAAATTGTCGTGTGGTAGGGCAGAGGGTAAAGTGGTTGGAGCCGAGTTTCGTTTTCGGCCAAGCGACTTGAATGACCCAAGAGAAGGAACGACTTGTCAAAGAGCGTCGAGATATGCGCTTTCCTGTTTTGCTAGGAAAGGCTTCCGGGACAACCAAGAGAAGATGGGATGAAAGGCTAGCGGAAGCATGCTCCAATATGGGCGAGAGGCATCCTGAGTTACAGCAGGTGCCTTGGGAGTTGAAGAGTATTTGATAGACGTTCCTTCTATATGAGAGTTGTGAGCAACCCCCTGTGTTTATCTCAAGGGCTTGACTTTGACGTGAACTGTATTGTTCTGCATTACGAGAAAGATGATCAAAGTTGAAATCTAGTCTGTCTGTTTAAGCAGCTGCAATTCGTTGGGCATGAACATCTTAGAGAGAACGACCGGAGAAGAGACCAGAAATCCGTTTTCCCTCACAACGACGCACCGAGAAGCTCCCCCACAACTGCAATGGAGTCCTTCTTCTCCTTGACCCAATACTGAATCGACGCCAACCCCGTCACAATAACCATGTCCATATCGATACTCTGCGGCGGCACGTACACCTCAAACGCCGGGCTCGTCCCATTCCCGTCAGGCTTCCTCTTCCATCTCGCCAGCAACCTCCCATTCCCGTCCTCCATGAAAATCGTCCCTGTAGAACCCGTCCAACTCGACAACCTCCAGCTGTACCGCACCCCCATGTAATCAAAATCGTGTCCCATGCCTAGATCGTTTCCTTTCATCTTGAACGGCATACCGCGGAAGACAACGTCGATCTTTGAGGAGAGCGAGTGCCGTTGCGCCGTGCCAAGGGCCTGATCCGACATTTGCTGCGCGCGGGGATCGGCGTGGATGACTGTGATGGATTTCTCGTCATTGTTGTGCAGGATATAGAATGGTGTCGCAAAGCCAGTAACCGGGTCGACGCGGTCGACTGTCGTTTGGGCGCCGCCGAAGCGCTTGTTGATGCGGAGGACTTCGCATGGGGGCCCGGTTGGCTGAGGCTCGTCGCTCTTTTGCAAAAATGGCATGCTGCTCGTTGCGTTTGCTTTAGAGACTGCTGGTAGTTGAATGAATTGGTGTTGAGTCGTGTTCTGCAAATCGGGAACCTGTGACGGAGGGGTCGGCGATATTTTATCTTCAACCTGAGAAGCCACCGATGTCAGCGCACCTGCTGGATGTAAGCTCTATCGGTATTGTTCAGGCTAAGACATCCTGTTTCGTGCCCGCAGTTCCCGCTGAAAGACACAGCCAGAGATGCCTAGCCATGCTGAAATGCTGACATTCACTAGGGCTGGTAATCTGTAGGGCTGGTAATCTGTAGGGCTGATGACGTGAACTGAAGCGGACTTCGGCCATCGATAACATGGAGTTGTTCTGTCGACGAGTTGGAACATGCCTGGCAGCTGAAGACTTGGCATGCGTAATTTGACCTCTGTTTGAAGGCTACCTAGACCGTCCAGTGGCTGAAGAGTCTCGGACTTGTGCTGATTGGACAATGCCACGGTTCAGAGGCTAGGAATTATGTGGCTATGGGAAGGTCTTCTTGCCTCTTTGAGATAATGGGGTGCAAGCTGACACCTTAGCGCGATGATCTGGTGGATTGACAGCAACGACTTGCTACTTCCTAAAACGGAAAATGTTCTGTTCTACGCTGATTTCAGACCTGATGCTACTGAAGACTCGATGCACAAGAGGCCATCTTGTAGGCTTCGTTGATGAATAAGATAGATGTCTTCTCAGGCGATCATTCATGAAACCACAGCCGCAGCCGACATTTCATCTGTCGAAAGCTGGTTACGTCTCCTATGCACACGTATAGCTCTGTTTAGAACACACGATTCTTAGCCTTGGTGAATTCTGCACAAAGCCGTGCTTCTCAAAACATCTAAAATCTTGTACATGCCCCATAGCTGAAGACCGTGTCGATGTTAGACACGCAATGAACCACTGGGTGATGTTGCGCCGCCCACTTCACGGAGCTGGGCAGCTGCACTTGAAATTGCCGCAGAACAATCATGTCAGCCTTTATCAAACAGGCGGTCGTATGGGTGAATCCGAGCATCTCGGACTGCGTCCCGACATCGATAGATATTTCCGGGTTGAAGTAGCGGTGCGCGGAAATTTGCGAGACTCGGGAATCGGCGCTGACCAATCACAGGCTGCGGGTTTTGGTGTTTAGCACGATTTGGGCATTTTCGCTCCCATATCCGGCTCGACCTTCCCTCCCTCGTCTCCACCTTCAGCTTCGACATCGTCTCGACATTCCCTCCCAGTCACTAACATCAGTTGGGCTTCGCGAGAGACTCGCTCGAGATGTCGTATAAAATGGGTGATGTGGCAGAAAATCTTTGGCCCAAGGCTAACAGTTGTTGCATTTTCATTTTCGGACCCTTTGAATCATCGGCAATCGCTTGTTTCGTTTACACAGGTTGAAACCACCGGCACCAACCAAGATGACCGTCTTGCATACTCTCGACATAACGGAGGCAACTATCGGCCAATTGCGACATGCACTGTCTACAACAAGATTGACCAGCGTTGACCTCGTGGCGCGCTTCCTACATCGCATTGGGAAGTATGACTGCCGGGGCCCGCTCCTCAATTCGATCTGCGTTCTCAATCCCAAGGTCTTTGAAGAAGCTCAAGCCTCAGACGACTACCGAGCCTCTGGGCAGCCAGCTCGACCCCTTGAAGGCATTCCTTTCACGATCAAAGACAGCTTTCAAGCCAAAGGTCTCACAGTAGCCGCAGGCTCACCGGCTTTCGAACACCTTGTCTCGTCGTCTGATGCGGCAGTCGTGGATCTTCTCCGCGAGGCTGGCGCCGTGCTCATTGGAAAGACTAATATGCCACCTATGGCTGATGGCGGCAGTCAAAGAGGCCTCTACGGCAGATCTCTCAGTCCATACAACCCGGAATTCCTCTGTACTAGCTTCGCTTCCGGCTCATCTTACGGATCTGGCGTGGCTACCACGGCGTCCTTTGCTCCCATCAGCTTTGGCAGCGAAACCGTCTCATCAGGTCGTGCGCCAGCCTCCCACAACGCTCTCATTGCTTACTCCCCTTCAAGAGGGGTCATACCCTCTCGAGGGCTCTGGCCGTTGTATCCCACGTGTGACGTTGTCGTACCCTACACCAAGTCAGTGGCAGACATGCTCCAAGTTTTGGACGTCATTGTTGCCGATGACAAGAACCCGAGAGGCGACTTTTGGCGAGAACAAACGACTGTTTCTATCCCCCAGGTTTCAGACCTTCGTCCGCGGAGCTACAGCAGCCTGATGGATTCTGATTCGTTGAAGGGCAGGCGTATCGCGGTTCCCAAGTGTTACATCGGCAAGAAGACTTTGTCCGGCTACTCCGTAGTTTGCACGGAGGCCACGCGTCAACTGTGGGAACAGGCTCGTGCCGACTTGGAAGCATTAGGAGCAACCATCATTGAGACGGATTTCCCCATGGTAGAAAACTACTCGAAGCAGGATTTCCCGGGGCAGGCCGCCAACGTACCGGGAATGCCAGACACGTGGATGGACACCGAGCGATGCCAAATGATTGCCACCGCCTGGGATGATTTTCTCAAGTACAACAACGACCCGATCTATCTGCGCCTAGAGAACGTGGATAGCCGAAAGATCAACCCCGGATTTGCGCCAATGGACGACCCTGCGGAGTTCACCGAGCAACAAAATCACGTGCGGTACGCGGAGATGATTGACTTTATTCGCAAGCGCCCCGAAAAGATTCAGGACTTGCCCGCATGTGCCGAAGCGTTGGTAGCCTTGGAAGCCGCCCGCAAGAGAGACTTGGAGGATTGGATGGACGAGAACAAGTTCGACGTCCTCGTCTTCCCTACCAACGGTGACGTCGGAAGGGCCGATTCCGAAGAGAGGCGCGATTCAATGCTGCATACACTGCAAGACGGCGTGAAGTACTCCAATGGCAATCGAGCGATGAAGCACCTCGGTGTGCCGGCGGTGACGGTGCCAATGGGGACTCTATCTGACAAGAAAATGCCCGTTGGCCTGACTTTTGCTGGAAAAGGCTGGAGTGATAGTGATCTTCTTCGATATGCGTTTGCGTATGAGACTGCGACAAGACGCAGGGAAAGCCCCCCAGCCACACCTCGGTTGCAAACCGACTTTGTGAAGCTTTCCGGAGGATCTCTGCGCGGAAGTGTCAGTCCGGACTTGGTGATCGAAGACCTCCACGTAGAGAATATCTCTCAAATGGGTTCGGAGATCCGAAAGGTTTCGATCAGGGGGTCGGTTCGTGCGAGCGATCCTGCTGTGGTTACCGAAAACATCCTAGTCTATGCCAATGGCGAGCCGTCTTCCTCGGTTGAGATCAACGGGAAAACGTGGGAGTGGCAAGCTGAGTTGGAGCGGGAACCTGTGATGGAGAAATACCCGACCCCCGGAAAGGTTCCAAGAGATCAAATCATGTTAGTGATTGTGGCTATAACTTCGAATGGGAGATCGGCTGGACAGTTGGTCATGGTTGATTAATGTAGTTGTTCTGACGCGCGGAGATACCCAACGACTGGCCCCTCGAGAACAGATAGGTAAAAAAGCATCCTTGCATATATCATTGAATAAGCTTAATCGGGCTTGCCCAGCGCTTGCGCTTCCGGTTACCTGCTCGGGTAACTCTCTGACCCTGCTGACCAGGGCCTGTTATTTCGCTCCTTGAGAACCCTTATGATCAAGATCTCTGACATCGGCAAGTGGGTAGCACCTGCTAGATCTGGGAAGTCCGAGTCGGTTATGCAGAAGAGTGGTTCATACCCTCGGTAT